ACTTTCTTACTTCAAAATTTAAAGCTGATGAAGACTGACGGTGCAAAGAAAACTGATGAATAGATATATAGGAGTTTGGTTGGATGCTTTCTTTATCTTACAGCCACAAGACCAGATCTAATGTTTGCTGTTAACCTGCTATCTAGATTCAGGCAAAATCCAAGTGAAATTCACTTCCAAGCTGCAAAAAGAATGCTGAGGTACATTAGAGGAGTAGAGGATTATGGAATCAATTTCAAGAGATCAGAAACTCTGTTTTTGATAGGTTTTACTGATAGTGATTAGGCCGGTTCTGTTGATGATATGAAGAGCACTTTAGGTTATGCTTTCTATGTTGGTTCAAGTCTTTTCTGTTAGAACTCTATCAAACAAGAAAGGGTGGCTCAATCCACAGCTAAAGCAGAGCATATAGCAGCAACTGAGGCAACTAATCAAGCAATTTGGTTGAGAAAAATTCTGAATGATGAAGTACCAGCAATCTGAGGTAACTACCATTCTTTGTGACAACCAATCTACAGTAGCAATTGTGAAAACCTAGTGTTTCATGGGAAAATAAAACATATAAATATCAAGTATCACTTTATTAGGGAAGGTCAAGAAAGATAGGATATAGAACATGAGCACTGCAGTTCAGAAGAACAAATAGTTGATATCTTCACCAAAGCTTTACCTAAGGAGAGGTTTGAAACATTAAGAGATGGTCTTGGTGTTTCCAACAAAAGTGTCAAGGAACAGTGATGAACTCTGTCAAATGTGATACTTTTATTGTCAAACCATTTTTGTTATCATTAGCTTGATAGATACTTTTGTAACTTATGATAGCTTAAGTTATGTTTTATATTTTATGCAAGTTGGTACTTGAAGCTGTCTAGATATTAATCAAGTAAGGTTTGAGTTGTAGTAGGTAGTATAGTTGGTAGAAATATATTTTGTAATGTATGAAAGTATGGCTATATGAATGAGCCGCGTAATACCATTTCTCCTCTGTCTTCAATACTCCATCAGTTGCAAAAACTTTGATTTAGGCCCACCAACCCACTGATTATCACTTGAATTAGGCTTGAAATACCCGAGTTCTCTTTTGATTGAATCAAGGGTCCTTGCCTCTCCATGTACAACTCTATAAGAAGGTAGCAACTGCCAACTGCATGCTATGTTTAAAATCATTAACAAATTCGAAAGACGGAAAATGGAAGATATCGATGCTCTCTTATTCTCTTATTGTGTAGCTTTGTCAGAACCAATGCCATAAGAAACATAAGATACTCATCAAGATAGCTGCATGAACCTGATAAATTGGATCTCATCAAAGCTGGCGGACAAACTTGCTTACAAATTGGTAGTCTTTCTTTCATCAAATGAAAAGGAAAAGAAAACATGTAACTTTCGGATTTTGCACTACAGATTTGATAGTAAGTTTGCTCTAGTATGCCTAAATTCGCGTTTTCACCAAGTTAGAGCACTGAATTCCAGCCCCACGACCACTTCCCCTTATTGGAATATGACTTAAAAGAATGAAATTAAGTCATGGAACAATATTTCTGTGTAAACAGGCCTTTAGGACAATTGAATTGATAAATGAATGCATTCGTGTTCTAATCAAGGGTGTGCGAAAGTTTTTATATTATTATTGTAGAAAGAGCTTTGTATGTTGAAATCACACTAGATGTGATTTTGTATGTTGAAATCCCACTAGATGTGATTGTTGTGAATGATTTAATTTCAACTCAATTCCTTATGATTTATATATTTTTCCAATAATCTCTACTAAACAGTGGTTTTTTCAACAACACTTCTCTTGAATTTTTAATGCGGTTGAGTATGGTTTTCTCCTTGCCTTAAAAACTGGCTGCCCCTCAAGAGTAATAGGTGAAATAACCAGGACAAATGGGTGCTAAAAAATGGATTCCTTATGAATTTTTCATTTACTGTTCTATAGTTGACGCATAAATTACGTGCTTTAATAGTCTGCAGTTTTGTGGGTTCTATTTTTTTTTTGTCTTTTTATCAATGTTTTGAAAACCGGACCGGGTATCGACCCGGAAATTAAAAAGGGTCAAGGGTCAAAGGGTCGAACCGGGGTCAAACCGGAAATATTTAAAAAATTAAAAAATAAATGAATAATTAATCCAAAAGGTGAATAATGTCAACAACATGAAAACTTGAATAGTTAAAATTTCAAACTTGCTAGTTTTGCATCATCTACCACCAATAAAAAAA